TCTCTCTCTCTCTCTCTCTCTCCTCCTCTGATCCCGGCTCCCTCCCCTTACCGAAGCCACCCGGATCCCGGCTCCGTCAGCAAACTTGCGATGCCAACCCCCCTCCCCTGCGCAAGTAAGCGTGTGTATGTGCGCGTGTGTGTGTGAGTGCTGCACACACACACACACACACACACACACACACACACACACATTTATCTGCGCGGGGCTTGAAAGGGATTTTATTCGTTCCTTTTTTTTTTTAATGGATTGATTGATTGATTTAATAGAGATATTTCGAAGTCGTCGCATTACAATCACTTTTTTTCGTAGAAAAGAAACAACAAACTGGAAAAAGAAATACATGCAAAAAAAAAAAAGAAAACAACGGAATTACATGCAAATACACCGGAGACAACAAACAATAGACTGGAAAAGAAGAAATACATGCAAAAAAAAAAAAAAAAAACACGGAATAGCGTGCAAAGGAAACTCACCCTGATCCGCCATCGTCCCCGGATGTACGTGCAGATAAATGGCTACTTTTCCTATTTTCCTCTCCGGCCGTCCTTCTTCACGTCGTCACTGAGTATTTCGTCTTATCACTCCGATCCCTCGTTATCTGTCCAACGACTGCGTAGATTGCGCCCTTCTCTCTCTCTCTCTCTCTCTCTCTCTCTCTCTCTCTCTCTCTCTCTCTCTCCCTTTCCCGGCTTACGTGGACTGCACCGTAGAACGTAGCCCGCCAGCACGAACACCAAACCATTCAAACTGCACGACGACCGCGCGGAGGACTGCACCGTAGAACGTAGCCCGCCAGCACGAACACCAAACCATTCAAACTGCACGACGACCGCGCGGAGCATGAATTCCGAACCACGCAAACTGCTCGACGGCCGTGCCACGAACCAACTAACCGGCCACGCGAAACTTCCGGATTCAGAAAGCAGAAAAAGAAAAAGCGGTCCCCCGGCCATTTTTTCCGGTGAGATACGGCCGTCCACCAAACGAAACTTCGAGATTGGCCTGCCGAAGTCGGTTCGGCGGTGCATTTTGCCAGTTTCGCATGCCACATACAGCGCTCCACAAAACGAAACTTAGGCCGACGAAACGACACAAAAAAATAAATAAAAACCCGATGCATCTTCACAGTTCCCCAGACCGCATTCACGACGCCAAAATATAAACCCAGTCCGTCGATTTGCGAAGTTCCCCGTGGGCCCGCCCATTCGTCCGCCCACTTTCCCAACATTGGAAAAGCGGGTCTCTGTGGGAGCGTCACGCGAGACCCGCTGTATTAAGGAATGAAGAAAAAAAAAACATGCGCACGCACGAGAGAGATAGATAGATAGATAGAGAGCGAGAGAGAATCCAATCTTGCCTCCCCCCCTCCCCCCACGCACTTACGATCGAGTGTAGTATCTGCTTCGATCAGTTCCATAGCCGATCTTCTCCCATGATCAAGCTTAGTATCTGCTCCGTTCAGTTTGATATCTTATCCGTGGTCTATCGAGCCCTTTTTATTTTATAAAAGATATAGAAAAGTGCACGCGTGCATGAGAGAGAGAGAGAGAGAGAGAGAGAGAGAGAGAGAGAGAGAGAGAGAGAGAGAGAGAGAGAGAGAAACTCGACCATCCCCCCACGATCAGGTGTAGTATCCTTTCCGGTCAGCTTCATATCTGATCTGTGGTCGACCGAGACCTTTAAAAACAAAAGAATGAAAAAAGAAACGGGAAATCATTTCGCGCACTGGTCAGTTAGAGACCCCAGTCTACTGAAGCCCCCCACCCCCCGCCCTCCCCAAAATTAAGTGTATTATCTGATCTGTTACGATCCTGACCAATTTTGAAGTCCACAATCATCAGAAAGTACAATGTTGTCCAATTGCGAAAAGAAATGAATGAACTTGAGCCCAATGCCGTCCAATTGCAAAAGAAATGAAAGAACTTGAGAGGAGAGAGAGGGAAAGAAGAAGAAGAAGAAGTAAGAAAGAAGAAAGAGATGTACTCCAGCATAGACCAAAGACAAAGCTCTTCTTCTTCGCTCAACAACCTCCTCCTCTTTATCTCCTCCTCTCTTATTCAAACAACAAGTAAACAATAATAATGTTGAACAGCTGAACCAGAATCAATGTCCGAATCCCACTTCTACTGCAGGCATAAGATCAGGTCCACCATAGCCATGGCAGCCCTTCTTCTTCCTCCACATACAGGCCGAGGCTATGGCGGACAACCGAGGCTTCAGCCTCCGGTACCAAAGACAACCCCAAGCAGCCCCACTTCAAGGTCATCACCCAGCAGCTATGCCGCTGCCCACTCAACCGCCATGCTTCCTTGATGCGGCACTACCCCCACTGGGGCCTTCCTGATGCAGCGCCTAGCAAGGAGATGAAGATGGTGTCTACCATAGCCAGGTAAGTACCCTACCACTCTCCTCCTTGGTCCCCTTCTCCCTCCTCCTCCTACCGGCTGAGCTCCACCATAGCCAAGGTGGAATCTCCCGGCTTCTTCCTCCCAGCAGCGCTGTAGTGCCCAGCGCTTCACCACCTAGCGCTCCAGCAGAGTGACGCCCAACTCGCACACTGAAGAATGAGGCGGAGCTCTTGCCTCCGCGTCTAGATATAGCGGCCTGCTTGCCTCGTGGGCGGTGACTTCCAGGCCGCTCGGCCTCTCCGAGCAACCGGTACCTCCTCCGTTTTGGAGGGAAACATCATTGCAGACCCTGATATTACCCGTACAGGCTCTAGACTCAGACTGGTTGGACTGGTACCGGCCTAGACCTACCCTACCGCTACTGGACTCTAAAAATGGCAACTTTGTCTTTTTCTGCTCGGCCTCCACTACCCCTCACGTCAACTGCAGTGGGGTGCAGTATCGGCCTACCGGCCTACTTGAGTGTTTTTCCGCTACCCCAAGGGCCTCAGGGCCGCTAGCTTCGCCACTTGAGTGTTTTCCCTGCTACAACCCTCAATGCCACGGCCACAGGTAAGTACCGGCCCTACGGGCCTACCAAACAAGCAAGTGCCCTTGCGGGTCCCACACACACTCATRCCAACAAACACTCAGACAGGCATGCAGGTCACAAGCACGCACACACACAGACAGACTTAGAAAACACAGCAGAATGCGGGAATCTCATCAAGGCATCCATTCCATCGGCAGAACTTCAGAAATCAGCAGTGTTCTCAGTCTGTGTTATGACGGGTTATTACAGATCCATGGTCGAAAAAAAAAGCACGCGCGCGAAAGAGAGAGGGTGAGAGAGAGAGGGACACAGAGAGAGAGGGACACAGAAAGAGAGAGAGAGAGAGAGAGAGAGAGAGAGAGAGAGAGAGAGAGAGAGAGAGAGAGAGAGAGAGAGAGAGAGAGANGAGAGAGAGAGAGAGAGAGAGAGAGAGAGAGAGAGAGAGAGAGAGAGAGACTCGACCATCCCCCCACGATCAGGTGTAGTATCTGTTCCGGTCAGCTTCATATCTGATCCGTGGTCGATCAATACGTTGGGAAACACAAGCGATTTTGGGAAAAAAATAAAAAAAAGCGAATTAGCCGCATACGCAGACAGAGAGAGAGAGGACGAGAAGGCAGGAGAGGGAGGGAGTAGGCACGGGCTCGAGCAGGATGGTCCATCGGGACCAATTAAGAAGAAGAAGAAAGAAGTGGAAAATCTGCAAGCCTGTGTGCGAACCAGAGAGAGAGGGAGAGTCCATCACCATCTTCGTGTGCGTGTGTGTGTGTGTGTGTGTGTGTGTGTGTGTGTGTGTGTGTGTGTGTGTGTGAGAGAGAGAGAGAGAGAGAGAGAGAGAGAGAGAGTCCAATATCTTGGCAAACATTCCATTTTTATTGCGGGCTTAGCCGCAACATGTCCCCTAGTCAAGGTGCATTGCTACTATACGAATGGATTTTTATCTTTTTTCAGCAGGAGACTTGCATTACTAGAAATATGTCATTGGAGGACATGGCTTGGAGTTGATTCTGTTCTCCTTCCCCGCATCGTCCCCCCCACTCTCATGTGTCTTCTCCAATCACGTTTTTTTTCTGCCCTTACTTGCATTTAAGCTGGGATGCACGTTGTCAGGCAAATTTCTTAAACCATCCACAGCCACCCTACCGTTCTCGCTTGCAGCAATTTTTTGTTTGTGACGCGGCAATGCTGCAGTGCGCCTCGTCTTGTAGGCTCGTTGTGATTGATGCCTTTTTGGACTTTATTAACGGACATGTGTATCTGCTTTCGCTCTTGTGTGCATCTCTGTGCGTTTGCATGGCTTTTATGTTCTTCCAGGAATGCTGTACGGCCTGCTGGTCAGTTGAATACACTTGTGGATGAGTTGCTGGTGGTGGTGGAGTTGTTGGTTGGTTCAGGCAGCGGCATAACGGCGGAAGCTGATGTTCGGTGTCTTATACACTTTGTACTGGATTGCTCTCAACCTAATCAAGTATGATCACCTTGCTGACATTCCGATTTCCAATTACATGTACAACTATTTCAGGCTCTTATATTATGATTGCCAATTGCATTGACAACTAGATTAAGTTAATTGTTTGTGACTTGCACGGACAGCCGCGTTGAGTTTTTACGCTGTGATCCCCTACGTCATTGAAAGTGACATTCTTGGGGCAGAATCCCCCAATCACATAGACGAAGTGTGTTCTTCTGGAACAATTAGTGTTATTGCTGAACATCGTTTTTTTAGGGGATGATGTGCTGGGGGCTACCAACCAGGCCGCCCAGGTCACCTTGAGGTGGCCCGGCTGGGCAAGGGCCGGGGAAGGTTTCCTGTATCGGTTTTTTTGTACAAGAAATCCGAAAAAAAATATTATGCAGATGAATCAAACTGAGCAACTTTTCCCGCAGGGTCACATCAAAATTCTATACCGGTGCAAGCAGACCAGCTCAGTTGGTCAGGCATGGAAGTGGCATTCTGGAGGGTGTGGGTTCTATCCCCACTGACCACCTTGGCACGTTTGGTGCCGACCAACTGAGTTTGTTGGCTTGTTTCCTCAGTCTAGCCTTGCCTTTGGCCACGATAGGTGTGTGTATGTGTGTATGTCTGTGCATGTAGGTTGTATGTGGTATGTGTGAGAGTGCTGGCCATGGAATGTTGTTACTCGATATAGGCAGGGGAAGAAGATGGGAGGCACAGCTACTGGCAAAATGCTCGGTCTCTACCCCCCCCCCTTCCCCCTCTTCCGCAAATTAGGGCGGAAGACGACATGCATCCCCTTGATTGTGAGAGGTGGCAGTGCTTGTAGGTGTCCACTGTATATGCTGACGATTAGTGGTCTGTATGTAGTGAAAGCGTGAAAGGTGAAATTGAGAGAAGAATATAAAAAGTAATCCTTTTTTTTGGCTGGGCAAGTGATCCACGGCCACTCTGGTAGCCAAGATGATGTGTATACAGTACTACAGTTGCCAACCCAGTGCTTGTAGGTGTCCACTGTATATGCTGACGAGTAGTGGTCTGTATGTAGTGAAAGCGTGAAAGGTGAAATTGAGAGAAAAATATAAAAAGAAATCCTTTTTTTCTTTTGTACTTTTTTGGCCTGCCTGGGCAAGTGATCCACGGCCACTCTGGTAGCCAAGATGATGTGTGTACAGTACTACAGTTGCCAACCCACAATTCCTTTTTCCATGCGATGATTTGAGCGCTCTCAAAATTGATTGTCAACTCGGGAAGCACTATTTGTCAACTCGGGAAGCACCATTTGTAAAGAGCCGATGATGTGTGGTGGGGACATCGAGTTTTTGATGAGAGAAGCATTCATCTTCAAATTTTTATGCTGTGATTCCCAATTACATTGAGAAGTAGGTTTTCCGGAAGATATTGAAGCATTGGTCTTTTGTTATTCCCAATTGCATGGACATTTCCAAAAATTTCAGTGAAGCTCACATATTAATTCATGATCTTCTAAAACCTGTGATGACTCCGTTCATAAAACCCAACACATGCATTCAAATAAGCAGCAGAGTGTATGATGACACAGAAGCATCCATCTTACTGAAGCTCGAACATCAGAACTGGAGGGATTCAAAAGAGGGAATTGCGCCTTCGTGAGCTCCTCCCTCAGAAGAACATCAGAATGGCATCCAAGCCCAGGGATGAGCCGAAAATGAAAGGGAGGAGTATGGCCGCAACATTGCATAAAGCTATCAATGACAAAGTGGTGTCAGCCAAGTGCTTAACCCATCAATGACTAAGTGGTGTTCAGCTGTATGAAATGATGAAATTCATACCGGTCAGGCTTAATTCTGACATTCCTCCCGGTCTGGTCTCCTTTGTGGGACCAATCTAGACCACATTGTCGGAGACATGTATCTATAGATGACAAAATGGTATCAGTGAAGTGCTCGTGCTGACGTTTGGACTGTTGCTATCCAGGTTGCTCGTGTGCTCCATCTCATCTACAGATTGGTGGTTCAACCAAACACTGGTCGTGCTGCTGCTTTCGCCGAGATGTTTTTGTCAAACGGAGGCTCGGAAATGATGCTTGCTTTGCTGAGGAAGGAGGCAGATATGGGTGAGACGCCAGCTTACATCCCTCCATGTGCCCAAGAGGGTCCAAAGCATGTAGCTGGTGAAAATGATTCTGCTGGAAGTGGGCTGTCGTCAGCACGATCATCTGGTGGAGAAACACCTGTGGATTCAACAGGCCATGGCTCGTTCTCGGGCCTGTCCCGTTCATCTGCCTTGTCAGGGAGTCTGAGCGTGGAGAGCCTCAGCAGCAAGGAAGGAAGGTTTCCAAACTTGACAATAACTATGCCTGAGAAGACTAAGAGCACAGGCACTTTGTCTTATACCTCCCCCCGAGTGAGCGGTATGATGTCCCCATCTATGTCACCATCATTTCGATCCAGCAAGCTGTTGGGAGGAATACAGCTGTCTGTAGGACCTGGTAACTCCAATGCTTTTAGAAATGTCGATGGCGGGGATGGTATCATGCTGGGAATCATCAGCCTTGTCGGTGCACTCGTGTCCGGGGGATACCTGTACCTCTCAAGTCCTCTATCACCCACAGGAGCGATGGCAGCTATGGGGGTAAGCACACCCACTGGAGCAGGTGGAGACCAGTCCAGAGGAGGGTTGCCACAGGTGGGGGCGAGCGTTGGTGTTTGGTATGTCTATGCGATTCAGAGGGCATTCCAAGCTGCGCCCAAGCGCCTTTTGACGGATGCAGTTTACACTGTACTCTTGTCTGCCATTCTTCGATCAGAGGTGAGGACAGCGCTGTCAATTAAAGTTTGAAAAAAATGCTGCTTTTGTTTGTGAGTGTTTTCAGCATTCCAGCTCGTCAATGCCCCCGATAGAGTCCTTGTCGCTAATTCTGGGAGGGCATATCTCAACTACGCTTCTGAGGATTGTATGAATGGGCATGCTATGTTTGTCTACTGAGGGAAGAAATGATTCAAGAGGATTCTCTCAGGGAAGAAGAGGACTCTCTTAATGTGTGGATGCTTATACGTAAGGAAGATAATCTCTAGTACTTCTTTGCTGATGACATTTTAGTATGAGCAACCACTAGGATGCTTGAAGTATGGACACTAGGATGCTTACGCGCAATTTGGACCAAAATATTGTGGAGAAGTTCCAAGTTGGCAACACTATGTTTCTGTTGTCTGAAGTCCGAACACCGGATAAGCTTGGGTCACATGAATTGAGTGGAACGACTATTATATGTTCAACTAGAAACTAGAAATATAGAAGCATAGTAAGTATGTATCATCAAACAGAGCTGCCTGGTAAACCGTAGACAGAGCGGGAGAAGAGGACAACAAACGAGGGGCTGTGACAAACTGTTTCATGTATGTATGTATATGGGCCTTACGACTTTTTTGACTGGTCTCTGGACACAATTGCAATCAGGTATGTACATTGTTGGTAACTACAAGCAAATACATTCAGGAAAATCCTAGTGTGAGTATGCAAGCATGTGTTTTTCAACCAGGTGATAATTTTTGTATTATCGATGTTCATGTGCCGGATAGTTGTTTCAGCTATTGATTTTTGGGATAACGATGTGGTCGCAGCAGTGGTAGTGGAACTAATATTTCTGGAGAAATTCTGTAAGACTAGGAAGAACACAACAATGTTGACAGTGTTAACAAAACTGTAGTAGTACCGTTAGTATGTTGTTGTTTGTAGTAGTAATAGTGATGGTGGTGGCAGTAGTGGTAGTACAAGCACTANGACAGTGTTAACAAAACTGTAGTAGTACCGTTAGTATGTTGTTGTTTGTAGTAGTAATAGTGATGGTGGTGGCAGTAGTGGTAGTACAAGCACTAACAGTAGTATAGGTATTCCTAGTAGAACTTGTATTAGCAGCTTTAGTAGTACTAGAAGTGGTATTAGTAGTTTTAGCGCAGAAGTAGTCGTAGTGGTTGTCGTACTATTGGCAGTATAAACACTTAACTGTAATGTAGGTATATTCCTAGTAGAACCTGTACTCGGAGCATTAGTAGTAGTAGAAGTGGTATTAGTAGTTTTAGTGCAGTAGTAATACCAGTTGTACTACTAGTACAGTAGTAATACTAGTAATTAGTGCAGTAGGTTAGACTGGACCTGGTCGAGAGTGGTTGCCACCTGTGGTTGCTGCTGAGAAAACTACCACTGCAGCTCCCACTGCTACTCATACTACTAATACCACCTTTCATTTTTTTCATTATGAAACCTCCTGCAGGACCTGCACTAACTCTTAGTATTACTACTGTACTAGTATTGCTGCTCTACTAAAACTACTAATACGACTATTTGTACCAATGCCGGTAGTACAGGTTCTACTAGGAAGACCTTGTACTACTGTTAGTGCTTGTAGCCATGTGTTTTTTGCTGCCCTGTTTGTTTTTCATTTGGCTCCCTGCCTACCGATAGCAGCAGCCTTGGCAGCAGCAGCACCAAGGCGAGGAGCTACGTCTTGGCCTCACTCGTTCTTGCAGTAAACTGGAAAGTGGGATCTGACCCCCTCCACCTTGTCTTTGTTGGACACGAAAAGGCCTCATGTGAGTCACGTGAGAATCGTGCGACTAATTTCGCAATCAACTTTCGTTTCTGCTGCAGTTGAAGGGTGTAAGAGAGAGTGCTGGATATGTGAACGAAATCTGTTGCTGGATTTGTCGGCTTGGTGTGGCTGCAGGTGGTTACGAACAATCCAGAGGCTTTGTACGATGTTGGCCATCGGTTTCAGAACACAGATTTGTTGTCAGCTTTGCTGCAGTCTTTGCCGATGGCCCCCAAGAATATGCAGATGAGAGCACTTCAGGTGAGTCTTTGCCAATGGCCCCCAAGGATAACTGAGTGTGCTACCGCTCTGTTGAAATGTTCTCGCTGCATCTCTTTAGATTGCAATGAAGATGATAACTGATTCAGACTGTAGAAAAACTTCACAAAGGCTTTTTTTTTTTTTGCGTTTGTCAGCAATGGAAGCAATCGATACCTCTACGTCGTGACAAAGATCTGTAGTTGTTCTTACAAAATATTTTGGAAGGAAATTGTTCTGTCTTCTTTTCAATGATGAGTGGAAATGGTTTGTTGTCTTTTGACTGATTTCAGTGATGAGTACTAGTGAATTTCTTTGCAATCACTGAAGGTATGCTGAGTTTGTGGCACTTGTGCTGATCATTGGGTGTCCTTTGTGGTTCATCTGTTCGTATTGTGAGCAGGATATTCTCCTTCTGACATGTACTCATCAAGACAATCGGAACAGCATAACATCCATGCCGGAGTGGCCAGAGTGGTTGCTGGAAATACTACTTTCTAACTACGAGGTGTGCTGTCTATCGTCTTCCGTTTTCCAAATTTGCACTATGGTGCCATAAGAAGCCCGAGCTTGATACTAGGGGTTCACAAGACATGAAACACAGAATCTACAAAAGGCCAGTTGGTCATTTATGCCCCTGTGGTGTGTTCCGCAGTGGTCTGCGTCAGTGTCCATACAAGCCTGTCCCTTCCGGACACAAATCACACGCAAAATGTGTTTCCCATGGTTGTTCCGGACCCGGACAACCGGACAACCGGACACGGACACCGGACTCGTGTCTGGATCGAACCGGACGTCTGGTTAACCGGACATCAAACCGGATATCCGGACATCCGGACCCGGACAGTCCGGTTTGATGTGTCGATGTCCGGTTGTCCAGATAAAAAAACAAAAAACAAAAAAAAAAACGGTTAAAAAAACGGGACACAGACACATACAGGTTTGTGGGACTGGTCGTACGTGCTAACGACTTCAGCATTAATCATACTGGAAATGCTAAGTTTATTAACACCCCGAGTTCTCCGAACCTCGAAGTTTGAAACTTGGAATCTTGAACCGGCACACATGACACAAACACACACACACACACACCAAAGTTTCACACCTGCTCCAGCCCCCAAGTGTCAGTTCCACACCCGCTCCAACCCCCAAGTATCCCACACATGACACAAACACACACACACAGCTTACGAACGAAAAACAGAGAGAGAGAGAGAGAGAGAGACCTTACGAACGAAAAAATAAAGAAAAGAAAAAGGAAAACAGAGAGAGAGAGAGAGAGAGAGAGAGAGAGAGAGAGAGAGAGAGACTTTCACGGAAACCTCCCTTGCAAGACGGCGACGGCACTGCTGCGGGCGAGGACTTCGGCGGCAGCGCAAACCTCCACGGCAACCTCCAAGTTCGAATTCGCGTCCTCCCACCAGCAGCGCTGCTACTATCAGAAGACTTTCGAATTTCACTCGTAGGCCCTTTCAGGGCCTGTCCGGTTGGGGTACCTGATCGCGAAAAACCAACACAGCAATTTTCCGGGGTGCCCCAGGCTGAGGTGAACGGCCTGGGACCCCGAATTTGTTTTTTCGAATTTTTTGATTTTGGGGTCCAACCGGACCCTCCTAACCGGACACCGGACCCGGACACTGGACACCGGACTGTCTGGGTCGGGATCCGGACGTCCGGTTGGTAACCATGGTGTTTCCTTTTTATTTCGTTTTCCTTCCGTTTTGTTTTAAACCATTACTACCTCGCTCACTCTTGGGAAAACTGGGAAAACTGGCAGTTTTCCCATTTTCTCCGAATTTTTCGGGGGTTGGACGAGGCTTGGCAGTTGGGCCTTGTGGGCCCGTTCGAAAAACAAAAGACCATGTTGGGGAAGGCCATGCCCGAAGTTGTGCTCACACCAAAACTCACAAGAAGGTATCTAACTACTATTGTGGCCAGTTTCAGGTTCTTGTTGTTTGTGTTTTTGTTTTCTTTCTTTTTTTTGTTTTGGTGCCCTGCTAGGGAGGCACGGCACAGTCCACGGGTTGCTGGCACTTTGTGGAGGAGGGCATGCCCACACTACTATGCAGAATGTATGAACCCGCTTTCCCACCCTAAGTTCAGTTTCATTTTCTTTTTCTTCCTCTTCTTCTGTGGGCCTGACAGCCCTGCCGAAATGCCCGCGCCGAGGGCATCCTCGCACTACTTTCGGGTAGGTATCTACCTGGTATCACCTCCGAAGGGTTGTTTGTTTTTCTTTTTTTTTTTCATGGAGTTCTGCGAACGCCATGCTTGTTTGTTTTCTCAAAGTCTGGCCGTGTTTTTTTTTTCTTTTTCTTCAGAGGCTTAGTGAAACTCAGGCGCGCAGTGAAAATCAGGGTCAGCAAAAAACAGGCCCGGAGGTAATGGTGGTTTAACTCTATTTTCTGAAGCAGGGAGTGCGGAAAAAGTTGCTTCGCTTGTTGTCTCTGAGGCTCCTCTTCGATAAAACTATGGCGAGCCTGCTGACTCTATGGGCATGCTTACACTACACCCTCAGAATTGCAGAATCGCAAAATCAGTGAGTCGACCTGGCCACTGATTTTGCTACTTCATGACTTTGGCTAATTGTGAGTGTACTCAGGCGTTTCCAGCATTAGTGAAGTGATTGAAGTTCATTGAACTCTCATGTTGCCATGAGAGGAACCCATCTTGAGCCCACACAATACATCCAAGAACTCCAATACTTGTTATAGGTAGGGGTCAGGGGTTGTCTTTTCCCGCCCTCCGGACTGCACGTGGTAGTTTCCCGTCATACGGCTCTCTGCCACGAATCATCGTTCGATAATGTTCTCGATGTATGTTGGACAGAAGCAGGATTGCTGTGTCTTTAGTGGATTCGGGTTGAAGTCCAGTCTCGTTTACTCGGGAGTCTAGTAGGAAATGATGGTCATGCGACAGGCAAAATCTGTTCAAGCTTGGGAACTCCATGGTTTCGGTGTTGGAGATTGATCTAAGGACATATATCCGACATATGCTTGCAGTGGAAGGGTACCGTGGTGTTACAGCTGCTTGTTATAGCTAAGGTGCCGGCGGGGATCTATTTTGTCGGGAATGGGAATGAACCTCTTTTATGACCATGGATAGACTTGCTGAACCTCAAAGGGCCGACTGACTTGGACCATTGCAATTGCAATGTTGACAGCTACAGTTTCTTTTGTGCAGCTTGTGCTAGTGGACTGTCCTGTGCCCTTGCTCACAGTGGCAAGTTTGGGAGGCCCCATGGGTGCATTCACAGTCTGAACAAGCCTGGAAAGGGACAACCCAAGACATGTGAGCGGGTTGTTTTCTTTTAACCGCACTTGTACGACGCGAGTTTGAATTTGGGAGGGTTCAAGTGTGAGGCTACCTTGAATGACAACCAAGCAGTCTTCTCACAGTTTAATTTGCTGATTCTTAGGACAAGGTCCAGAGGATACCATCCTAAGATTGGTGGGAAGGTGCCTCTTTGGAGATGACTTTGGTATTTCTAATGGCATTCATTTGTGCTCGTGCTTGGTATTTGCTTCATTGTTTCTGGCTCTCTTTTGAGGAAACGAGTGTGTTTTTGGCCCTTGTATAAGGAGGGGTTTGTGTGGAGGATGAAATTGAGATCTGTGTAAATGGCTTTGGGTCTCGTGTGCACTTGGACTTTCTTGTTCTGCAGACTATCTCAGATGATCCTGATGAGGTGGACATGACTGAAGCTGCGAATGAATTGGTATACGGCTTCCTGTCTATCATATTGGAGCACTCTATGCGATCGAGGGATGGATGGAAGGTACAGTCCTACAGTCGTGAACGATTGTTGAGGTGATGATGCACAGATGCCATCAGACGGTGTTGATGTTAGGCGCTGCACTTTTTTCTCAGTCAAAGTGAGAACGGTTCTAAAGGAAAATATATCAATGTACTTGTACTGGTTTCTTGACCTTTCTTCCAAGCCAATGAGGATGATGTCCATTCGTCTAGCTAATATGCAGATGATATGTATGAGATTCAAAAGTACCATCTCTCTGAAAAGCACTTACTTCGTCATCCAGAAATTTCGGTGACAAGCAGATCGAGAAAGCCACACTGCACGAGATAAAAATGTAGGTCCAGCGACATCGACAAGTCCTCATCCCCAACCACCCCTCCTTCCTGCATTGTGAATTTTCAATGCTCCCATTTTGGGTGTCAACCCTTCCTGTGCTTGATAACGGGCAACACCACCCCCTTTGCTTCCCCTCCCCTGAAAAGAAAAGAAAAAGAAGTGTAAATGTGGAGGGTAGATAGAGCCCCCTGTTCTTTATAGATTATTTCCCCATGTTCTTGTCCTTGTCCACCATTATGTCATTGCTCACACCTGTATTCACGTGATTCCCCATGGAAATTTATAAAGCCGCCTGAATTTTGTCTGAAGTGGACCACCACCAGCATCATCATCACCAAAAATTTGCGTGCTCGTGTGATTTTAGTGGAAATGCACTAGCCCAACAACACCCTCGTCATCACCGTTTCTTTATCTTCTCCTTCACTTTCTTCTTTGTTTGTTTGTGTTTGTTTTTTTTCATTGCCATCTCGCCCCTTCCCTGAGATGAAAAGCCCCTGTGTGCATGTCATGTGCAAAGCACGGCCGTTCTCACCTGCCTTTGACATCAAAAGAATGTACCCTTGTACCCCTCCTCATGGAGGGCAAGCACCCGTCTATTGCTTGACATCCGAAGGGCACACAACTGCATTTAGTGTATGGTATGGATCGGAAGTACCTCCCCCCTCCCCACTGCGCTTTGATATTGGAAGAAATCATCCATATCCCCATACCTCCCCCCTCCCCACTGCGCTTTGATATTGGAAGAAATCATCCATATCCCCAAATGTCAAAAGCACACCCCACTGCCGATTGATTCCCCCTCCTGCCCACCCCAAGTGAGTTCTTCCTCTTCCTCGTAATGGTGAATGTGGGTGACCCAAATTTCATGTGTATGAAATGGCCGAATCTCCTTTGGAAAATTGTGCGGCCTTACTCAACCTGGTACCATGTGGGCTGGGCAGTATTATACGGTCTGGGTGATGCCACAGCGGTTGGATGGGACTGTTGGAGCATAGGACCCGGGTGGCACCATGCTTCCCCTCTTCCCCCATGGCTCCTGCTCTGGCGTTGGGTGATACCATGCGGGGCGAGCAGCATGGTGTGGACCAGGCAGTTCCATGCAGGGCAGGTCACACACTCTCAAGCACAACAGCCGTGGCTCAACTACGGTACCATGTGGACGGGGCGGTATTATATAACCTCCATCATGATACGTGGGGTGGACCAACCGACGACACCATTGCAGAAGGCGGCAACATGTCGGGTGGGCCACACCATGTGGACTGGATGGCCTGGCACACACTCCCCCCTGGGTCCTTGCCCCCTTGCCACCCGCCCTGCCAAAAAAAATGCTTTACATCCAGCTGGCTTTGCTATGTAGTCATATTTGAACTACAGGCCTTTCCAAGGGTGCGGTTCTACCTTTGGATCGAACAGCTGCAATTCGTTCCATACACCCGGCATTGCAATGTAATTCTATTTGAGCAACTGCAAAAGACCTTTTGAGTGGCCCACCTGGGAACAGGATTCGAGCACATGACCTGCTTCCATGGGAAAAAGAGTGGCGTCCTTTAACCAGGGCGCGATTCGAATTGGGGACTGGATAGCCCGGAGTCAGGATTCGAGGACATGACCTTTCCATGGGAAAAAGAGTGGCGACCTTTTACCACTGCTCGATTCGAACTGGGGACTGGATAGCCCGGAGTCGGGACCAAAACAAAAGCGGTGCAGAGCGGCAGCGCCCTGTCCCGCATGGTTCCTGGTCTTGCATGGGATCGTCACACGAGACCTGGGTTAGCCTTTAGAGGGAGTAAATATATAGAAGTATAGACAAGGAAAAGCAAGCAAATTTGCAGCACCAGCATTGCGAAAAGTTGCAGCCCTGATTGGGTCTGCCTGGTTGTGCCATGTTCGTAGCCTAGCCGTCCCAAATGTAACTGCCCCTACTGGATCTGCCTGGTTCTGGCAAGCTCGTATCCTAGCTTTCTGAAAAGAAAAGTTGGCAGTCATTCTGCCGCCGCAGAACTTGCAAGAGGGATGGGTGCATGTGCACAATACAATGACACCGTCAAATTTGTCCGCTTGATGTTTGTGTGCCTGGCTCTGGCAGGAGGTGGAAGCAATCATTCATTGCTTGGATTGGCTAGCGGAAGTTGGTGGGTCGAATCTTCCCGATCGGCGATTGAGGTAACCATCAAGCCTTACTCTCCACAACGTTGTTTGAATTTTAGCTTGTACTCTCATATTCTATCTCTATGCCTGCTTTTATTGATAATTTGAACATTGAACTTTGATCTGTGAATTGTTTCCCACATCACTGCATATATAACTATCACTAAGTTCCTGCCTGTGACAAGCGGACGATCGGGGCCCTCCAATTTTTTGCTGCACGATGGTCCCGATCGTCTGCTGATCGTTTTTTCTCAGAAGTTGAACCATCGCCGTGGCCAGTACCGGTCTCGCATGCCGGCACCACGCTTGGTACCGGGCCCATGCCCCAGAGCCAGTACCACACAAGGTACTGGGCCCCCTCGCTACTGGTAGCACCGGTACTGTCGGACGTTGCTGGGCCAGCGCTAAGTGGCCACACTTAACAAGCTTTTCCCGATTTTGGGAGGCAGTGCGGGAAAAAACGCGTGGCCCCACACCACACCTGCCCTCCAATCGACTTTTGACTTTTCATACCCTAGGCTACAGCGCTCGACTCTGACTGACTTCTACGCTGCTATGCTCTTTTAAGACTTCGCTCTACTTTGGACGCACGCGCACGCTCACAAGCACACCAACACACGCAGCTGCTCGTACACACACACACACACACAAGCACGCACGCACACACGCACGCATGCACGCACACGCACGCACGCATGCACGCACACACACAAACACACACACACACAAACACACACACACACACACCCACGCGAACGTGGTGAGTCCTTGGCGATCAGTACGGTTCGTCTTCGGCGGAATGTGGGGGTTCAACCTCTTGATGAGTCGGTGGAAGACCGACGAAACAGTCTGGCTGAGTCATTTTGTGAGTTCTGTATAGTTGAACATAACAACACTCACACACACTCAGACTCACCCACACAGAACACGCATACCCACACACACGCACACACACATACACACATGCACACATAGGCACATACACACATACACATATACACACACACACGCAACCACACCCGCCCACCCAGGACAAACCATCTCTGCATCCTGAATGTTGGACGCTAAGGCTTGAGCTGTGCAGCGTCAAGGCTTTAAAACTACGACACCTTGATGACTGACGGTGAGTTTGTTATTCGTGTCTGCTGCTTTCATTTTTTGTGGTCTTGGAACTATGAGAGAGAGAGAGTGCACATGTCCCTGCGCGCGCGCATGTGCGTGTGTGTGTGTGTGTGTGTGTGTGTGAGAGAGAGAGAGAGAGAGAGAGAGAGAGAGGGATAACCTACGACCTGCTGTCAAGTTTATTATCTGCAGCAATCAGTTTCATATCTGATCTTCGGTCCATCGGGACCCAAAAAGAAAGAAACGGAAAACAACGCGCGCGCGCGCGCGAGGGAGAGAGAGAGAGAGAGAGAAAGAGAGAGAGAGAGAGAGAGAGAGAGAGAGAGAGAGAGAGAGAGAGAGAGAGCTACGACCCCCTCCTCTGCCCACAACCATCAAGTGTGCGCAAGACCATCGGAAAAAAAAAAGAAGGAAAATGCCATGCCCGTGTGTGTGTGTGTGTGTGTGTGTGTGAGAGAGAGAGAGAGAGAGAGAGAGAGAGAGAGAGAGAGAGAGAGAGCCCAGAGCCCAACCTACCAAACGAGTATCTGCTCCGTTCAGTTACATATCTGATCCATGTTCCATCGAGACCATTTCTATTTAAAAAAAAAAGCACTCGCGAACGAGAGAGAGAGAGGAAGAGAGAGAGAGAGAGAGAACCCAACCTAACTAACTATGCACCTCAACCCCCTCCCCTCCCCACGATCAAGTGTAGTATCTGCTTCGATCAGTTTCATTTCCGATCTTCGCACACGATCAAGCCGTAGTACCTGCTCCGTTCAGTTACATATCTGATCCGTGGTCCATCAAGACCTTTTTATTTTAAAAAAGAAAAACAAAAGCGCTCGCGAATGAGCGCGCGCGCACGCATGCGTCAGAGAGAGAGAGAGAGAGAGAGAGAGAGAGAGAGAGAGAGAGAGAGAACCCAATCTAACTAGCTATGCGCATCTCTTCCCCCCCCCCCCCCCCCTCCGCAACGATCAAGTAGTATCTGCTTCGATCAGTTTCATAGCCGATCTTC